TTTTGATGTTGCTGAAAAAGTTCTGCACACACAAAGTAATGGAAGCGTTTCATGTCAAACATTATTTTTCATTCATGCTACATTGTCTTTAATGCATAGTTCAGAGATGGACTCAAAACAATATTCAATGTTCTCCTCAAGCATCAGCACAACACAATCCGTCGGCGTGGAGCTCATTGATAGTCATATATATCATACATGATCCCATTGTAAATCTACAGCCTAGCAGAGACTCCAGCGGTTCATCCGTGAGACCCTGATCATAGAAAGCTCCTTCCTGAGAATGGCTGCCAAAGATGTAGGATAAAAATGGATTTCATGTCCTTTACGGTCCACCCGCCTGTCGTATTGCTCAAATAAATATAAGTACGTAGTACAAATGTGAGTCAGATTCTTCCTCATGTACAAACAACTTTCTGACGAGCACAACAGTCCTGGCGATGCATATTTAATAACTCTACTCTAACAATCTGTAAATCTCGCATGCCTTCAAGGATGTAGACTATCTGTTAATAACTAATATTCATTATTCACTTTCACCACAAGTCAAATGTTTCCATGAAATAATGGTTTATGAAACACGAGCAGAACTAACCTAAAATGTGTTGCATGAATGAAGTGCAATGACCAGAAACATTCGCAAAACCATTTCACACTATTGTTGCATTGTGAAAATGATTTGGGTGTATTTCTGAATACATTTCTCTATAAATCATTCAAAAAATTATTTGGATTTATGAAGAAACGCATTCAAATTCCTTCCAAACTAATTTCTGTGTGAATCATTCTTAAAATAACTTGGATTTACGATTAAATAAGCAGATTCAAAATTCACTCCGAATGAATTTCTATGTAAATAATTCTTAAAATCATTTGGATTTACGAAGAAATGTACTCAAAATTGGTTCTGAACTGATTTCTGTGCAAATAATTCATAAAATCATTTAAATTTATGAAAACATTTTCACAGAAACACCAAAAAAATTTATTCAGAATGAATTTCTATGTAAATAATTCATAAAATCATTTGGATTTATGAAAAAATTTACATAGGAACACATTTAAATTTGGTTCTAAACAAATGTCTGTGTAAATCATCCATAAAATAATTTGGATTTATGAAAAAATGTATACAGAAATGCATTTAAAATTCAGTCTAAACAAATGTACATGTCAATCACTCATAAAATCATTTGAATTCACAAAGAAACAATACACAGAAACATTCCAAATTCATTTTTGAAAAACATTTCTGTGTAAATAATTCTTAAAAGACGGTTTATAAAGAAACATTCAAAAATCATTCTGAACAATTTACGTGTAAATAATTCATAAAATCATTAGTATTTATGAAGAAGAAATATACACAGAAATGCATTCAAAATTTGTTCTAAACGAATTTGTGTAAATCCTTCATGAAATAATTTGGATTTACGAAGAAATTCATTCAAAATTCGTTCTGAACAATAACTCTGCACATCAAGAAATATAAAGAGAAACATTCCAAATTTGCTCTGAATAAATGAATCTTCAAATCATTTGGATTTATGAGGTAATGTGCATAGAAACACATTCAAAAATTCGTTCCGAACAAATTTCAGTGTAAATCATTCAGAAAATCATTTGAATTTACAAACAAATGTACACAGAAACATTCAAAATTCCTTCTGAACAAATTTCTATGCAAACCATTCATAAAACCATTTGGATATATGAAGAAATGTACACAGAAACACATTCAAATTATTTCTATTTCATGAAATAAGGCTGTTAAATAATAATAAAGAAAATCCAGAGTTGCTGAAACTGATAAATCATTCATTGTAATGTGAAAATCTCCCATTAGTTTTGAAAAGTCATTCTACTTCAAGCCTTATAAAACACTAAACGTCCTTTTCCCATTCCAAATCTGTGTTCATAAATTACAGATGATCTCCTTAAAGTCCCCAAGGAGTGAAGTTATTACTGTTGCGTATGTTCCTCTTCACACCGTGCCGTACATGAGAAAAAAGGTTGAGATCCCGTCGTGGTGAAATGATCCGAATGTATTCCTGAGAAAGGTGGTGGATAATGATGCGTCTAGTTGATTGTACAAATGAAATAAGGCAAATAGAGATTGTCACGTAATTCACAGCGCCGCCTACAGGGCTTCGGTTCTCGCCTTCAGAATTCAGAGAGACGTTCAAAATCAAGCCCAAAGTCTGTAGGAGGTTGAGTATTTCTCGTCTACGTCCATCACGTCGCATGCACTCCCAAAGGCGAGAGTCGTATCAAAGTGGCGCATGCCTGGAAGCCCTAAAGTTCACTTATCAAGCCCTTACAAAACACTAGCAAGTGCACTGGGTGAAAACTACACGAGTGCTAACGTTTCATCAGTTAGCATGAAGAACAATCGGTTCAATCCAACCGTGCACTTTGTGAAGGAGGCACAATTCCCGCTTTGTGCTTCTCGTGGTTCGTTTAGAGTTCCTCCGAAGGTCAGCGTCACTCACTCTTCTCTCTGGTCCACTTGATCATGGTTTCTGGAGAGCGGTAGAGGAAGATGAGTTTGGCGTACAGGTCTTCCTCCAGGTCCAGTTCCCCCGTCTCTCGGACCAGGAAGATGTCGGTGCAGAGCTTGAGGATCCGGTCCACGTTGGGCAGCTCTTCGAACATGATGGTGTGTGAGATCCCGCTGAAGAACTCGCGCACGAACTTCCCGATAACCAGAACCACCGACATGTACAGACCCATGATCCTGTGCACACGCAGGTTCACACGTTCAGCTCAGCATTATGTAATGAATTACTTTTGAATGAAGTTCCTTACAGACTGATAAAATCATGTTCATTTGGTTCGGATGGGATGCATATCATATCATATAACAAATATCAATGGAAGCCAGTTAGCACCATGGAATTAAAGAAAAAAAACATTTCCTTAACATTTTCTCTCAAAAATAGTCTTTTCTAGCAATTTTACATTTCTTTGGCACAAATCGGACTTTTTCCCTGTCAATTCTGAGAATTGCGAGAAATAAAGTCAGAATCGTGAGATGTTAAAGGGATGAAAATTCAGTCAAATAATGCCTATTCAAGAGTATTTCAAACTTCATTTAATTTGAAAATATTATTTAAAATATACAGTACACTACAGTCCAAAAGTTAAGAGTTGGTAAGATTTTTTTTTTTAATGTTACTCTCACCAAGGCCACATTTATTACATAGTAAAAACAGTAAAAACAGAAATATTGTGAAATATCACAATTTAAAATAACTTTTCCAGCATCATTACTCCAGTCTTCAGTGTCACATGATCTTCAGAAATCATTCTAATATGCTGATTTGCAGCTCAAGAAACATTTCTGATTATTATTAATGTTGAAAACAGTTGTGCTGCAAACTGTGATCTTTTTTTCAGGATTCTTTGATGAATAGAAAGTTCAAAAGAACAGCATTTTTTGTTTTGCCAATTTAATTGATCCTTGCTGAATAAACGCAGTAATTTCTTTCAGAAATAAAATTCTTAGTAATCAAACTTTTGACATAAAAAGATCTATGTAAATTTTGGTGCATCACTATATTGAATTTAACTCGGCTAAAAACACTCAATATGTATCTTTAATGTTAGTACTGTGAGTTTTAGCTGTAGAAGCATATCTACTGAGAAGCCCCACCCATAGCGAACTCTCATTGGTCAAAAATCCACCTCCTCTTAACTATATATGAAAGCTCAACTATGTTCTGATTGGATGCACAGTTTTGTCCCTTTAGGAAGGACAGAAAAAAAACTTCAGACTATAATGTTTCATGTCACTCACCCATAACCCGCCAGAAAGCCCAGACTGGGTGGACTGACTTGGTCACTGATGATGTAGAGCTCCAGACCAGATTCATTTGCATTCCTGGCTGAGCCCACAGATAACGGCCCTGCTTCAGTCTGATTCACGATCCACCACTCCTGGACGCCCTCTGTGCTGTCTTTACTGGATTTATGTAAGGACAGTGTGATGCTCATGTATTCTTCATCTTAGAGAGCACACAGAAGAGTGAAGAGAAACAGGCATGTTGAAGGCTGTACAAATGCATAGCAATGCACCAAATAATGGAGAGCTGGTGTATTACCGAGGTAAAGCTGCTCAATAGGCTTGGCATTGGAGTCGCTCGGTGCTCTGATGTATCTTGGAAAAATGCATTTGATGGTCCTTAATAAAAAACACCATTACAAATTATCATTCAGGCGAATGTCTTTTTAGTGGTAAAAAAGTAAAGAAAAATATGTCTGTGTTTGAAGCTTAAACTCACACTTCCTTGTGCTCAGTTCCATTCAGTAGATTTGTTAGATTAGTTCTCGTTTCTTTGTCCAAGTCAATATAGTGTTTCCCTATTGCAGTTTCAGCTTTGGCACCTAAACTGAGGTTCCTAATGGACGAATGCAGCAAATCAAACCAAACAGAAATTCAGTTAATTCACATAAAATAAATGATTTTAGTAAATTCCTATTACAACACTTTGACAAAATTATTCTATATATAATGATATATTTGTATAAAAACATTAAAAAGGATAGTTCACCAAAAAATTTTAAATTTGCGGTTAATTTACTCCTTTTAATTTAATCCTCAGGCCATTCAAGATGTAGGTGACAGTAAAGAAGATTTTTAGTTGAAACATGGTCCTTGGCAAAGGTGCTGGCATAGGGCTCGAGCACCCACGGAAAAACACAAGATCGTTTCTGTTCATTTTAACCAATAAAAATGAATTGCAGCTTATAAAACTTTATTCTCGTTTTTATAGTTCATTTGAGGCAGTTTTTAGTGTTCTTTTAATGGCAAATGTCGAGAGTACATTATTGTAATACGAGAGAGCGCCAGCACGAATCTCTTGGCTTGCAGCGGGCTTGCTCTCTCATATATAGAGATTATGGCTCTGCACTCACTCAGATATTATGCGTGCACCCTCAAACTTTGTCCTGTGTGTGCGCGAATAAGTGCTTATTGTAAACAGGTATTCATTAAATAATTTTATTTAGTGAAGCACAACCCTCATAGAAAGAATTTGTGTATTATAATTTGTTTGGTTGGTAATATATTTGCAGTCCGTATGTTTCACTTCACAAGATACATTTTGTGTAGTGAATTCATCGAATGGAGTATACTCTAGAAAAAACTAACACCCAATGTAATTAATTACTGATAATGAGAATGCTGCAGGCATTTGTTGCGTATGTGTATAGCCTAGCCAGTTATCATTTGCTCGCGGAAACAGCAGTGAAAATGTTTAAAAAAAGAAAAAAAGACGCACATTCACCTTTGGGGGAGGGGGTCAGGTTGAGCACCCACGGGCAGAAACATAAATCGGCAGCCTATGGTTCTTGGTGATTCATATAATGCAAGTCAGCAGCTACCAGCACTTTTAGAGTCAAAAACAGCATACCGGGAACACAAAAATAAATACCAGCGGCTCCTGACGATATATTGAGGTCTAATGAAATGAAACAATTTATATGATTTACAACATTATTACCTGTAATCCAGAGCCTCAGGCAAACGGGGAAATCTGATTGTTTTCCGCACACTGGTTCTTTCAGACAGAATGTTTCAAAGAACTGGTTCAATTCACTAGCTTGTTTACATAATCACGCAATGTATACGTTTCATAATATATACACAATTATTAAAGCACCCAATAATGATGTGAAACGTGGATGTTTTACATGCCTAAAGCATATAAAGTGAATGGACTAGTGTTCATCAGCTATCTTTTTTACAAAAACAATGAGAAACCATAAGAACTTTCATTTGCAAGTCTGGGGGAAGTCGTGGCCTAATGGTTCGAGAGTCAGACTCGTAACCCAAAGGTTGCGGGTTCGAGTCTCGTACCGGCAGGGATTGTAGGTGGGGGGAGTGAATGTACAGCGCTCTCTCCCACCTTCAATACCCCAACTGAGGTGCCCTTGAGCAAGGCACCGAACCCCCAACTGCTCCCTGGGCGCCGCAGCAAAAATGGCTGCCCACTGCCCCACGCACACACACACACACTTTGGATGGGTCACCATACTTGGCCACATGTCACTTCACTTCACATTTGGCCCCTTCATTCAAGTGCTCGGTTCACGTATGCGCATATCAGCAGCTCATCGATCTTCGGTCCGAGTCTAACTGTTTCCTCAGTTCAGTAACTGGAGCACTGAATCAGTTCATTCATCATAGGATCAGATACACTGCTATTTTGGCTCATTTTGAGTCGACTGACTGAAAGTGAGTTTTGTTCGAGTAACTTGTAGAACTGTGCTGCTCGAGCCGTGAACTGTTTCAGAGAATTCAGTCTCTGAAGAAGCCCCATCCTTCCCGAATGAGGTTTCGGAAGCACTTACACATATGAACAACCGTTTAGGTGCATATGGAAGATTAGAGGTGATTATAACCCTCTTGGAAATGGCAGAAGTCTGCCGGGTAAACACGGGGCTCTGAGGCTATACCGTGGACTTTACACATATGGGATCCACTCAGGTCTCTACATATGGAGCCCAGCCCTCTACCGGTTTCTCACGGATTCAACGAGTGAGGGCCTGGCACCAAGGGGACGGAGGAGCTCGACAGGGTCTACCATACGGACACTCTGGAGCGGTTTAGCAAGCTGACACTAAACCGGGGCCTCTCAGTGCCTCTACCTGTTTGAGGTGAGAACACAGGAGGATACCGGCTCCACACGAAGGCTATAGAATCTAGCGAACGTGTTGGGGGTCGCCCAGACCGCAGCTCTACAAATATCTGTCAGCGAGGTGCCACGAGCCAGCGCCCAGGAGGATGCAACACTTCTAGTAGAGTGAGCTCGCAACCTGAGCGGGCAGGGCACACCCTGTGCCTGATAAGCCAGTGTGATGGCATCCAATATCTAGTGGGCCATCCTCTGCTTAGAGGCGGCATTCCCCTTCTGCCGTCCTCCGTAACAGAGAAAGAGCTGATCTGAGGTCCTAAAGCTTTGTGTCCGGTCTATGTACCATCTCAAGGCTTGGACGGGACAAAGCAAAGCTAGGGCTGGGTCTGCTTCCTCTGGGGGCAGCGCTTGCAGGTTCACTACCTGATCCCTGAAGGGGGTAGTAGGAACCTTGGGCACGTAGCCAGGCCGGGGGCCTCAAGATTACCTGGGAGTCAGCCGGCCCAAACTCTAGGCACGATTTGTTGACCGAAAATGCGTGCAGGTCCCCTACCCTCTTGATGGAGGCCAATACAATCAGGAGCAGAGTTTTCATTGAAAGGAACTTTAGCTCGACTGACTGCAAGGGCTCAAATGGGCCCTGCTGTAGTGCTCTGAGCACTAGAGACAGGTCCCAAGAGGGTATAGAGAGGGGCCGGGGAGGATTTAACCTTCTCGTCCCCCTAAGGACCCTGACGACCAAGTCATGCCTCCCTACCGACTTCCCTTCCACGGGGTCGTGATACGCAGCAATTGCAGCCACATAAGACTTTAAGGGTGGAGGGAGACAGCCTTCACTCCAAAAAGGACAGCACGACTCTGATCGGGCATCTACGGGGGTCCTCTTGGTGAGAAGAACACTACTCGACGAACAGGTTCCACTTCAAGGCATAAGTGCTCGTAGACGGTGCTCTTGCTGAAGTGATGGTGTCTACTACTTCTTGGGGTAGGCCACCTAGAACCTCCACAGGGTGCCCCGTCTTTGAGTCAGTAGATCCTTCCTCAGAGGAATCTGCCAGGGAGGGGCTGTCATAAGGAGCATTAGTTCCAGGAACCAGGTCCGAGTGGGCCAGTAGGGCGCCACAAGCAGAACCTGCTCCTCGTCCTCCCCGTTCGTGCACAGTGTCTGTGCGAGAAGGCTCATTGGGGGAAAGCATACTTGCACAGGCTCCGCAGCCAGCTGTGTGCCAGTGCATCCGTACTGAGTGTTCCTTTGGTCAGGGAGTAAAACAACTGGCAGTGAGAGGTCTCTGGAGAGGCAAACAGGTCTACCTGAGTGGCTCCGAAACGTCTCCAAATCAGCTGGACCGTCTGGGGATGGAGTCTCCACTCTACGGGGAGCACAGCTCGTGACAGCTCGTCGGCTGGACGGTTGAGCAGACCCGGAATGTGAATGGCATGAAGCGACCTCAGATCCTTCTGACTCCAGAGGAGGAGGTGGCAGGCGAGTTGCAACATGCGGCGGTAGCGTAGACCACCTTGTCGGTTGATGGACGCAGGGGGCCGCCCTTGGCGACGAGCAGGCTGGGGTGCTGCGGCCGCTGGACGGGTGGAGGCAGCAGCTGCCCACCGGGGCAGGACATGTCAGATCACCTCAGTCTGCAGAAACTAGCACTGAAACTAGATGAGTTTTGAAAACAATGTTTGATTTTCTGTTTTTAACAGAGGTGGGAATGTCTGTAATCACCCAGCACACACTATCAACTATATACAGTATGTACAGTATATAGTCTAGCAACACCTCAGCAACTGCATAGCAAGAGCCTAGCAACCACCCAGAATATCCTAGCAACACTTTAGCAAACAACTAGATAATCTAACTAACCTGGAACATAAAACTATTTACGTTTTTTAAACAAGACTTTAAAACAAGCCACCATAAATTTGTTTTTCAATCTAGTTATTACAGTTTTCTTAAATGCTTACACACAATTCAAATACACAGATGACTTTCCTGCTCAGTGCACACTTGTAAGATGAATAACACTGTAACAAAAAAAACTCTTATTAGGATTCAGGAATGATTTTGCAGCTCAATGTCTATTACAGTATACAACATAAATTAAATTACAAATACAGATGTATAAATACAGCAATCAATTCATTTTACAATTCATTTAAAAAAAAAACTTCAAATACGAATGAATTATATACTGTATGAACTTGGTAACTTGGCACAGTTTACTGAAAGCCATGTTTTCTTGCGATTATTTTATGTTACGCTGTCATCACCGATGCTGAAAAGTAGCACATGAAACACTGCTTACATTTATATTTTATTCTGTAGTAATTCTGGGGTGGAACAACTTTTTCTTAGGGTAGATCCGCCCCTGCCAAGGAGCACAGTTTCAAGTAAAAATCTTTACTATTCTACTGAAGAAAAAGTGTCACTTACATTTTGGATGGACTGCGGGTGAGTAAAACAGCTAATTTTAATATGATAAATATTTTACCAAGTAAAATATCATAAAATGTTTGGATCTCAGGGTGAAATCTGGACAGCATTTTTTAATTTTATTTGACCCATTAGCCACCAGCAGACCAGGTTCTTCTAAATGCTCAGTGTAACTGTATGCTGGTGAGATGTTGAACTCTACAGTACCTCTGTATGGACCAGGTGAAGGTGAGAGGAAACTTCTCGTCTGTGTTACTGAGCATTTTAATGAGGTTCTCCTTGCTCGGGGGGCTGATGGTCCAAAGTGAGTTGGAACTTCCTTCTAGTTTGGCTATTGTCAAATCCTCATAAACATAAGATTCCAGGAACTGCATGGCATTCTGCAGGAGACACAAGCATCTTTAGCTCTATTTAGAAACAATCCGGAATGCACAATTTATCATCATCATTGTTATCAGACATATACAGTGTGTGTGTATATATATATATATATATATATATATATATATATAAAAGTAGTATTTCAAAAGTAGTATTAATTCCTAAATAAACCCTAATTATTTTACAAAATGTGTTAAATTGGCAGGCAAATAATGCCACAATATCCAAATAGTCCTAAAACAAGTTCCATTTTATCTATGCAAAATTTAATTTCTTACTTTTTATTTTGATTATGCAATGAAATGTGATAATAGAAGTCTATTGGTCATTATTAATCAGCTATCTGAAATCATTTCTATATATCGGTAAATTACTAGAAAACATGTTCATGTCAAAATACAAAGGAGCTGCTGTGATTTGAACAGACGCTTAGTTCCTTACTGCATCAGAGCTGTATATTTGTGAAAACTTGACAAACTCCGCTGGAGACACATTTTTCAGATGGTTCTGCTGGGCACTCATCGTGAAGATCGGCTGAAAACAATACAACAAACAAGAACAGAAAAAAGAGAGCCATGTTAATTATCAAATGGTAGGCAACTTGAGATGTGCACGCTTCCCATAGGATAGACAAAAATATCAGATCTCTTAGACAGCACTGAACAAATAGAGACATTTATTTATGTCTCCTGCTTCTCAGATGTTTCTCCTGAGAAAAGACCCCTGTAATTTCACATGTCTTTTCTAGAGTTTCAGAAGAGATCTCAACAATGTCTCAATCTGTGCTCTGTTTTGCCTAGATACTAAAGTCTGAAATCGAAAGTCAGTGATCCAGTGATGTTATTGTAACTAAAACTAAAACTATATAAAAAATAATTGCTGGTAATTGAAATAAAGCTGAAATAATATAAAATATTAATATTAGATACAAATGTAATGAAATAAAAAAATGTAAGTTACTGTACTAAAATAACTAAAACTGAAATAAAATATTAAAGATAAACAGAAAACACTCCAAATAAAACGGGCATAACATAATTACTAAACTAAAATTGTAATTAAAAAAAAAAAAATTATAATAATGAATCAAATCAAATAAAAATAATAAATAGAAAAAACAATAAGTAATAAAATAATTACTAATATAAACATAATATAAAATGCATAATATAAAATGACTAAAATTTAAACTAAAATAAAAATGTATACAAATCAATAGCAAATAAAAATGACAAAACATAATAAAATGACTAAAATTGTAACTAAAATAAAAAATTATACAAATCAATAACTAATAAAAATGACAAAACACATAATAAAATTACTAAAACAAACTAAAAGTAAAATGAAAACTGAGAACTTAAAAAAAATCAAAGCTTATTAAAAATATTATATTAAACAGTATATGAATAATATGAACTCAAAAATATCTTTCCACGTTCATTTGATAGATTTATGATCTTACTGGATGACTCGTTTGCGTATATTTTGATTTCTGCAAATGTCTTTTTAGGAGAAACACCTGAGACAGAGTAGAAAGCAATAAAATGTTTCTTGGTTTCTATTGAAAGTAGGAACTGGCAGACATCTGAAATGAGCATGCAGATGAGCAGAACAGTGCTGTGCACCTGAAGTCCTCCCAGCGTGAGCGTGACGGACACGTCCAGCGGAGTGTTGACCACTCCTGCCACAGATTTGATCAGAGACATGAAGAGCAGCGGGAACCAAACGATGCAGATCAGGAGCATCACGATCATCCCGCCCATTCCATACTTCACAACCTTCTTCTTCTTCTGCCCGCGCGGCTGAGGGTAACGCTGCCACACGACACACACACAGATGCTCAGGATGCTGCCTTAGGAGGAAGCTGCCTGCTATTTCTCGCTTTCTTACCTTCTCGGACTCCCTCCAGCATTTGAGGATGAAGATGTGAGCGTAGATGTCCTCCACACAGATCCAGCTAGACAAGCTGAGCGTCGTGTCCGTCCAAACCCAGTCCATCACCGCCCGCAACTCCGTCAGGAACGGGATCAGACGGAACCTGGGACACACAACGCACACTAAGCAGGCGCATCTGTTATGTATAGAAAACAACTGGCTTGCTTTAACTTCCTTTTAAAAATTCAGTCATTAATTACTCACCCTCATGTTGTTCCAAACCCGTAAGACCTCCGTTCATCTTCGGAACACAAATTAAGATATTTTAATGGAATCTGAGAGCACTCTGACCCTGCATAGACAGCAATGATATTACCACGATCAATGCACAGAACCGTAGCAAGGATATTGGTAAAATAGTCCACGTGACATCAGGGGTTCAACCGTAATTTTACGAAGCTACGAGAATACTTTTTGTGTGCAAAGAAAACAATAACAACATAATTTTTTCAGCAATTCTTCTCCCCGAGTTACCGTCTTCCGCGAACGTAATCAACGTAATCAGTGTTCAGCATGCACGCTTTCTACTAAACGTAAACCATGCTGATTCAAAGACAAAGCTTCGGAAAATTACGGTTGAACCCCTGATGTCACATGGATTATTTTACCGATCTCCTTGCTACGTTTCTGCGTGTTGATCGTGGTTGTATCCTTGCTGTCTATGCAGGGTCAGAGAGCTCTCAGATTCCATCAGAAATATGAACGAAGGTCTTACGGGTTTGGAACGACATGAACGGTGAGTAATTAATGACAGAAATGTCATTTTTGGGTGAACTAACCCTTTAATTATGGGCATTGGTCGCTATTTTTTTTTTCATTCCACAATAACAAACACTAAATTACATGCAACATCACCCTATAAAAACTGCTGTTGAACATGTTTCTCACCCCTGGAAGAGGAAGAGGTTGACGTAGCTGTAGCTCTTGGTGAGGAAGTTTCCCAGGATGCGAGTCGGATATCCACAGCGGATCTGATACGCTGACAGGCCGAAGTAAATGCATTTCACAAAGTACCACAGCTGAGCGATATTGTTCTGACTGAAGCGCCTGCACAGAGGAGATCAAACACATGTTAGGGCATCGAGGGCATTTCTTCTTCATGTTCTACCTAACAGGGATTACGGAAGACATCTCTGCATCATTTGTTCTCACAGAAGTTTTTTTCTCTCTTATTACTACAGTATATTTATTTTTCATATATGTTTATTAGTGTGCAGATATGTTATTTACAAAGTGTGCAGTTTAATATAAATGGACGATGTATAATTATGAAAGATTAATTGTTCAGGCTGAATATAGCCTGTGGGAAAAAACTGTTCTTGTGCCTGGCTGTTCTGGTGGTCAGTGCTCTGTAGCGCCGACCAGAAGGCAACAGTTCGAAGATTGAGTGGGCTGGGTGTGAGGGGTCTAAGGTGATTTTTTTAGCCCTATTCCTCACTCTGGAGAGGGGCACCAATAATCCTCTCAGCTGTCCTGACTGTCCGTTGTAGTCTCTTGATGTCTGATTTGGTAGCTGAACCATGCTGTCTAGTTATGGATGAACACAGGACACACTCAATTTTCTTTGCCTTCCTGACTGTCCGTTGTAGTCTCTTGATGTCTGATTTGGTAGCTGAACCAAACCAGACAGTTATGGATGAACACAGGACAGACTCAATTTTCTTTGCCTATAATAGGCTAATAATAATAATAATAATAATAACAATAGCCTAATAATAATAATAATAATGTACAGCATTTTCTTTACTCAAAAAGAAAAAGAAAAAAAAAACAGGAAGAGATCTGGTAACGTTAGCCTATAACCCGCTGCGCTTAGTCACAGCCAATACAGCATCATCTTTTCAAGATTTTGGCCAAATGTCGGCTACTAAACAAAAGAAAAAATCTATCAACACTTTAAAGACATTCAAGTATTTTTAAGAGATTTAAAAATGTTTGCTGCATTGTTAAAAAACGCTACTTGTATAAGATTGTGTTTTGAGAGTGAAAAAAACCCAACATAAGTCGCGTATAGGCTCACGTCGCATTTTATTAGCCCTATTACATTCAGAAATAATGTAGGCTAAAATGCCAGTAGGCTAAAGCAAAATGTCTACAAACATTATAAACACATTTATTAGTTTCTCTCAACAAATCCTCTAAAGTTAAGACTATGCGTTTAGGCTATAAAAACGTCAATCCAAAAACAAATTCATTTAAGGTGAAACTGATGCCTACCTAATATTATTTATTATAGGCTTTGTACTTTCATCAACGTGAAACATCATCCTTCACATCGGCTATATTAGCACAGTGAGGTGCTGGTCACGCTGAACACAACAGATTGAACAAGGGAATCTGTAATTGGAATGGATTCACATTGTGGAAATCACAAGGCCTTAATTTATTTGAGTCCATTTTACTCTCAGTAAAATGGCATTTTGCTGATGAAAATAAAAATGTTGTTAATAATATGCAAAATGATGTATTTTAATCTATCAAACGTATAAAGGATTAATGAACTTCTAATGTAATATAATGTCAAAACGGTCCTGAATGAATGATTTGAATTCACATTTAAATACTGCATCCTGTTTGTCACCGTTCTTTTACCTGTCTGTGATTCCTGGTAGGATGAAAAACATCCAGAAATGGATGCCGAACACCAGGACGACCTGGAAAATCACTTTTCCCATCACTGTCTTGCGGAGGTACAGGGCGCGATCCACCACCATCGTGCCGAACTGGATGAGCACCATGACGAGGAACGGCCCGGGAACTTGGTCTTCTGACAGCGAGGATGTGATATCAGCACCTCCCTGATGTTTCTGTGAGCCAGACAAAACACACATCAACACACAGCCAAGGAGAGTTCGTTTTAAGAGTCCGTTTAGAAGAGAAAAAGGCAGATCTGATACCTAGCTGTCTACTGGCACGCATCATTTTTAAAAATACTTTTAATACTAATTGCAAATACTTTCAAATTTACCCCAAATGCCCAGAAGCCAAAGACAATAATGATGAAATCAACAGTGTCTGCTAGAAACATCAAGACGTAAACATCTGTCACGGCGTTGTACTCAGGGTGGATCAGGTTATAGAAGAACTGACGGATGGGCTGATAGAACTCAACCAATCTGAAGAGAGAAGATAATATAAAGAGACAGGCTAATATAACATATTAAAAACAGGATAAAGAATGAAAGCGTGTGCATCAAGCAGCCAAAACAGTCAGCATGAAATGGCATTCATAACCTATTTTCCTAACATAATCTGTTCAATGAGAGAAAAATGACTTGAATTTATCCATTATCCAACTGACTGGATCGTTTAAAGTGTAGGGCACTATGAAATCTGTTTAGTTTTTCCCCCAAATTCCATGTTTTTAATTTTAAATGTTTCTGGATTCCGTTTTAATACTTTAATTATCCGTGACACTGAGCCCGAGAGAGAGAGAGAGCAGGTGCATTAATTCAGGAAAACAAACGCTAAGGTATCGCAGGATTTGAAAAGGAAAACGGTGATTCATCTAAGACCCATTTATTGCCTGTTTAATCAAAGTTGTAAAGTAAATAAATGGCAATTTTGGAAACAAGACAAAAATTTCAATACCATTACATTAAGCAATAAAAATAAATTAAATAATTAAAAACAACCCCCCCCACAAAATCAGGGCTTTAAAATGGATTCTGCAGGGCTGCAAAATAATTGCAAACCCCATTAAATAAATCTAAAATGCTCGTATAATATTTAACAACCAACACTTTCTGAAGGCTTGTTGGGTTGCGTTTTAAAATCACACAAATCTTTACAAACAGTGTTTATTATTTCATAAAATCAAAGAGAAGTAAAAAAAAAAAACACTTCAGCCTGACATTGCACTTTTTTAACTAGGGTAGCAATATCACAAAAACGGCAAAATCTGTAACGGTAAAAGATACATAAATGTTCTAATTGTAATTTTCTAACTGATTTTTAATATACAAATAATATAATATATATAAGCATTATTATTATTAGGAATGTTTTATATAATATTTATATTTTTTATATTTTTTAACTATATTTTTAACTATAATGTGCACTGATGAATCTTTCACAGTAAGAAACATTTAGTAACTGTAGAAGTAAATAAAGTACATTTGAATTCTTTTCCCACACACTAATTTTTGAACAGGTAAACCTTTGCTTTTGCATTTAAGAATTACATTTGACTTGATGCATTTAATTACTAAATGTTCCTTATTGTCAAAGATGTCAGTGCAAAATGTTATGATTGTAAAATGTATCATTTTCTCCTCTCCAGGTTTCAGATAGTTCTCGATTCTGCAGATGTATCCTGGTGAAAAGTGCGATGTCATGCTGAAGCTCTTTACTTGTGTTTGATTTTCTCAAATAATCTGAAACCTGGAGAGAGGAGGAGAGAAACCTCAAACGCTAGGAATTGATTTAAAAAATCCATTTTTTGGTTTTCAAAGCTCTCAACAGTCTAGTGGCTTCGTTTAGATTTCTTAATGTCTGGTGAATTATGTTTCCAGCTGGATCTTGGCTCTGATCTCTCATCTAAGTCGCTAAACATCTAAAAACTGAAGTAGAAAACAGCCAGTATTTATTCTGAACAAGATTTTGGAATGCAAAATCCATTCGTGTGCAAACCTTAAAGCTCAAATAAACATGCAAACATATAGTATTTAAATATAATGACAAAATATACTTATTTAGGTTTTTAATTTCTATGTATTCTGCATTTGCTAACTCTCACAGCTAACAGGGAACGTTCTCTCAAAAGTTATGAGCAACCATAGGCGGAGGGCCACGGGGTCTTATGGCAAAAATGTCACTAAATTGGACAAAAATGCTCCTGCACAAACAAATTAAATATATTGCTTCTGTTGCTAACAAAGAGGAAATAAATAGAAAGTGTCGATTCGATCGCGGCATTAGATTAAGATCTGCTCATGTTGCACCGTAGTTCATTACGTTTTTACAGTTTTGCGCATTATAACCAATCACACACGATTCCGTTGAGCTTAGGAATGCAATGGCCAATCAGAGGCATTCAGATGAGTCATCATTTGTTCAAAGTTATCTAGTTTTTATGTTTTAGTTGGACATTCGTGGGTTATTTCCCATTTCAGAATATTCAGAGAACATTCAAACCTTCAAATGTAACGTTCCCAAAATTATAAAATAGAATGTTCATTTAAACGCTGTGGCATAACTAAGAAAAAAAAAAAACGTTTGAAAACATTTAATCAACTGGACGTTTTGAACATTCGGAGAACTTTTCTAAATGATGTTTTCATAACTTTATGGGAACATTAGCAAACCTTTCTTAGATTGTATTTTTGTCAGCTGGGCTAGACACAATCATTTTTTTACAAATACGTTTGATTATGCTTCAAAGTTGCTTTACCGACAAGCTTTATTAGAGCTACTAGATTCGCCACAACAATCATCACTATGATGTGGCAAATGAGAGTATGTACCTTTAGTATGGATCGGTGGAAAAACAGCACCAGCAGCTGAACCAGGTCATAGTGCACGTATCCTTCTTTCCTTTCTATGCCGATGATGTTGGGCGGATGGTATGGCTTCACCTTGGTGACATTCAGGTTCTGGTTGAATGGGAAAAAACTGAACTGGAAGAAGTATTTGACGACGATTGTGACCTGGAGAAGAAAAAAAAACACATTTACAAATTATTTATACCTATATTTAATGTAATAGTTCACCCAAAAAAAAAAATTTGCTGAAAAATCTCCTCACCCTCAGGCCATTCAAGATATAGATGAGTTTGTTTCTTCATCAGATTTGGAGACATTTATCATTACATCATTTGCTCACCAATGGATCCTCTGCAGTGAATGGGTGCCGTCAGAATGAGAGTCCAAACAGCTGATAAAAACATCACAATAATCCACACCACACCACTCCAGTCCATCAGTTAACATCTTGTGAAGGGATCACTGCGGTGTTTTAACTGCACTTCTGGCCAAAAGTCCTAATCCATAATAATGCTTCCTTCCCAATAGTACATCCCCTGTTGCTTCTCACATCAAAATCCACCTACATTTGTTTTAAACTGTTCTGGCTTGTAGATGGTGCTTGATTTGTGCAGATTTCTCTCCTGATTCAGACAAGGTGACTTTTTGAGTATTATGAATAGAGGATTTAACTGTTTAAAGTTAAAAAACGTCTTGATGGATTTGTTTCTTACAAACACGCAGCTTTTGTCTTCTCAAGATGTTAACTGATGGACTGGAGTGGTGTGGATTATTGTGATGTTTTTATCAGCTGTTTGGACTCTCATTCTGACGGCACCCATTCACTGCAGAGCATCCATTGGTGAATGCAAGTGACATAATGCTACATTTCTCCAAATCTGATGAAGAAACAAAATCACTACATCTTGGATGACCTGAGGGTGTATAACTGGGTCTGCACAGAATCTGTGCCATTCACTGAAAACAAACCCTGACCTCGGTGTACACGATGGCCGTCATCCAGAAACGCTTGCTGGGCCGAGGAACAGAGAGCATCGCCCACAGGAAGATGAGGATGGGCAGCACCAGTGTTGCCATGGAAGCCGAGATCATGTGGTTGAGGATGATGACCAGGTAACCGACCATCTCAGAGTGCGCCACCAGCAGGTTATAGAGAGCGTAACACAGCTGGAGCCCGAGCGGCTGCGATTTATAGAAATGCTCAGAATTCTCCAGCTCCTCATCATAGAACATTCTGGATAACAGCGCAAAAACAGATCCCATTAAATGACCGTATGCATGCAGTCTCTTACCTACAATTCCCACTTCTATTGTGCTCCAGTTCTGCTGGTGATGAGAGCACCAGCAATATTTGAATATTAGCAATGTTGTTTTTGTTAACTAAAACTCAAATATTTTTGCTAAATAAAAATAATGCTGAAATAAAATACATTAATACATCAAATATTATATTAAATTAAAAATATTACAGATATAAAGATGTAGTTGTTAGAAGTAAGATGAAAAACTACCTAAAAATGACAAAAGCACATTATAAAATGACTAACTAAATGACTAAACTAAAGCTTAAATAAAAATAAATTACAACTACTTAGATATATCTTTAAAAACAAAAGCACATCATACATTTACTAAATGAAATAAAACAATCTAAATGGCAACTAATTTTAAACAAAACCAATAAAAATGACAAAACACATACAATTTGTAACTAAGATATAACTCAAATTTAAATAAAAATAAAAAGCAACCATTTAGAAATATTTTAGGAAACAAAAACTAAAAATGACAAAAGCTCATAAATTACTGAGATAAAACTCAAATAAAAAAATGACAACTATTTACTGTAAATCTATTTTTAAAACAAAAACTAATTAAACTGACAAATGCAAATAATAAAATGACTATCCATTTAACTATTTAGAAATATTAAACTAAAACTAATAACAAACAAAATTGCTCAAAAAAAAATTATGTTAATCAAAACTACTATATAAATAATAGTAAAATAACACTGGTTTGCAGTAAGATGTGTGATTATTGGGATCTTTTACCACACTGACACCACAGAGCACTCTGAATAAGCTGTGATGTAATCAAGACGAGCTCTAAGTGAAAGAACTCACTTGTTGAGCAGCAGTTCGCTGGCGGTCAGATCGGTGGTCATGGAGGGCAGCAGAGGGTCGTCCAGATCGGATCTGCTGTCGGGTGTCATCAGCATCAGCCGTTTGTCACTGTCACTTTCGTCCGAGCTCAAAGACAGACGGTCGAAGCTCACGGCTTTGCTGTAGCTGGGCGGCACGTCAGCGTCCGAGGTGTTGGGGGCGTCTGTGTCCGGGGTGAAAAGATGCCCGCTGATCACGTTCTCCAGTCCTGATGATTCACCTTCATCCTGTCGGATCGGCTGTTCACCGTCCTCATCTTCAGTAATGTACTGCTCTTCTTTTTGATGCTCCTCGCAATCCAGCTGAGGAACCTGAACATCTTCAACTGCTTCCTCTGGATCCACTGAATCCCATTGGACTTCCTCTTCCACGTCTCCTGTCACTTTCTCTGCTGGCTCATCTGTCACTTCCTGTGTCACTTCCTCTTCCAGCTCACCTGTCTCTTCCTGTGTCACTTCCTCTTCCAGCTCACCCGTCTCTTCCTGTGTCACTTCCTCTGCTGGCTCATCTGTCACTTCCTGTGCCACTTCCTCTTCCAGCTCACCCGTCTCTTCCTGTGTCACTTCCTCTGCTGGCTCATCTGTCACTTCCTGTGCCACTTCCTCTTCCAGCTCACCCGTCTCTTCCTGTGTCACTTCCTCTTCCAGCTCATTCGTTGCTTCCTGCTTCACTTCCTCATGATCTGCTCTCTCAGGTTTGTCCTCAACAGTCTCTGCGGTTTCCTCCTCTTTCACCTGCACCTGTTCTCTCTCGTCCTCGACCTCGTCTATAGTGTCGTTGGTTCCTTGCCGAGAGAACAGTGTGACGCACTGAGTAGCTTCACTAGAAGCCAAACCACAAAAACAACACCAACTGATGAGTTCAAAACAATCACTGTAAACTTATCAATCTGTGAACAGTATAACATCTTAAGACATTTTGACATTGAATATTGACTTTGAATAACACAACTACCTGCAATGCTTAACATTTACTTGTATAAATTGTAAACATTTGTATATTTACTACTGAAATATCATCCTTTTAAGGATTTTATTCATTTCTAGAATCCGACTGATGTCTGATACATCATAAATGTTCATTATGTAGAACCGATAATTTTTGTTATGCTACAATAATAAAAACATATGCATTATATATATTTTATTATTAAAATAATGTATTATTTTATATTAATAACATTATTATTATGGCTGTTGTTGTTATTGTTATTACTATTAGTAAATGTTATGTTAAATGTTTTCTTTCCACTAGATGGTATTTATAATACTAATAATGATATTAATAATATCAATATTAAATTGCATTCATTTTAATAACACATTTAATTATTTTTCTAATACAACATATTATAGTTATTATAATATATATAAATAATGTACTATCATGATTAATAATAATAATAATTAAAATATTGTTATTAAAATTAATAATAAAAACATAATAATAATAATATTAAAGATATTGTTATAACTAATAAAAATTACATATTTAAAAAATACATAATTTTGTTATATTTAAAATAAAGAAATAAATCTTAAATATTTATTTATTTATCTATTAATTTTTTTATTTTAGTTATTTAGCATTTTCTTTTCGGTTGTTCATTCATCATTGTAAACCGGTTTTCATTAAAAAAAATTTTTTTTATGTAATGCTGAAATCAAAACAAAGAAGAAAAAAAACAAAGCCTGATGGGAGTGTGGAGGGTGATGAAGATGTGATGATGACGAGTCCAGCACCTGGACATGACGCTGCTTCCGCTGTCCGCAGAGGAGTTGGACATGTCCAGACCATACATTTTGCGCAGCTTGGGACGAGCGCGTTCGCTGGTTTTGGGAATATTCTGAGGCATGTCGTCCAAGTCATCCAAGGTAGACTGACGGGAAAACAGCATGGTGGCTTCGGTGTATGCGCTGATGGATGGACAGATGGACAGATGACATGAGCGGAAATATAACTCAATGAAATTGATGACAAAAAAAAAAGAGGTTGCCAAGTCTCCTGATTCTCAAATGTTGCTCCTGAGATAAGAAAAACTTTAAATATCGTGAATGTCAAATGTCATGAAAATTATGTCAATGCAAAAAATCTTAACCTTTTCTTTTCTAATAATTTTGTTTTGATTCTTATGAAATGTAGAACCGTAATTTCTACATGTCTTGATACTTTTCGTGAGATTCACTCTATAAATGCTATAAGTCAAAGCTGAAGACCTGGAGATGCTGTCTCTGGAAGCGAAGGAATCCAGGCTGTGGCCGACTCGTCTGCGGCGCTCTCTGTTTGAGCAGGAGTCCTCCTCACTGATCCGGTCCAGTCCAGATTCACGAGATCCGTTCAGTTTCATCTGCTTCTGGTAGTACACATGGATGCTCTCGCGGGACGGCACGTTTCCCTGCAGGACGAACAACACAGTGGATCAGTTCTAGACCAACATCAGCTAAACTGATTCATTTAATTGTTAGTTAGACTATAGTCATAAACTTGTTTCAGTTCCAAAGAGGTACCAACAGCATTTTTTGGTGTATTTTAAATCAAATTACACATATTATTGAACTTAAAAGTTGAATTAATTTCAGAAATTTTTTGCAATCATTTGCCATCATTACATTTAAAAATATATTTCTATATATTATAAGCAGAACCTTCTTGACTTCTCTGGTCAGCATGCAGCGCTCGATGCGCAGCACGGTGGAGATGTCGATGTATTCTCTGCAGACGGAGTTCAGCCACTTGGTGATGCTCTCAACGGTGGTCAGAAACAGCACCCAGGTGAACTTGATGATGTTGACGACCCTCTTGATGATGTTGTCTACAGGAAGTGGAAAGGTTAGTTTGGTTTGTCTGAAGTTTATATGAACAGGAAACCAATGCGCTCCATGTACACACCTGGTCCGTCCGTTTTGTCTTCCTCTGAACTCTGACGATCTTCTTCACCGATCTCTATCGCCACATGACCTACACACAGGAAGTTGCTTATCCATGAGATCAATTTATAATTATGGCCAGTTTTTCAGTTCAATTTCAGAGTCTATTTCTATCTCACAATTCTCTCTTTGTTTCTTGTTTCTGGCCTAATAAGATCTGGCAAAGGGGCTAATGAAAACTAGCCTTCAGGCCAATTTGGGTACATTTACATTCATGAATGTTGATTAATGTACACTGTCCCTTTTTGTGAAATAAATGAATTTAAAAATTTTATTGGTGGTGTAAACAAGTTTCAATAATTTTCACATGATAAAGATTGCCATACCTTCTTTCTTGTCTTTTCTACGTCTGCGGCCGTATCGCTTCCAGAAATGACGTCTCCCTTTGCCTCTTTCTTTCAGGGCTGCTTTAGAGTCAGCGATCCAGGTGTGATACACGAACTACAGAACATCAATATGAATTCATCTATTAATGCTATGTTTAAATAGTGTTGCACAAGAATGTCAGCACACACATGTCACATGTTCAGCCATTTCAGGAAGCCAGATGAAATTTAACTCATGATTCAAATTTGTCCACAACATACATATATTACATGCATCATTTAGACCATTAATTTGTATTTTAACCCCTGAAAAGTCTGAATTTGACACTGGATTAACAAGCACATCCACCACAGAATACCCACAATGAATACAAACAACTGTTTTCCATCCAAATTTTCCAAATCTTTGAAATCCATTTGCATTTTTGACTTGTATTATACATGTGTATTGACATGTTTTTATTCATTCATTGGATTGAACGAGTTGTTTGAATCCAGGTTACACAAGAAAATGGAAAATTCAAAGAGAGTGAATGTTTTTTGCTCCACTAATATCTGAATGATTCGTGAACGCTTAGTGTAAAATGGTTTGATGCTTTTTGTGGTTATTTCTCAAATGCAGTGGAGCAAATCACAATTTAGTAGCATATAAAAACCTTTAAAGTAAATAAACAGAAATAAGACAATGAAATGACTTTGAGAAAATAAAGTACCTTCCCAAAAAACACCACATTAAATAATAAACACCCTAAAATCATTTCCATTCCATGCATCCTCAAAGGAGTTATATTTCAACATTTCATTTTATTTTTTTTTACAAATATCATAACTGGAACAACATGGAATGGAAATCTTACACTAAAACACCATCAACAAACACAGAGATGGAAACACAGATGACACGTTCCCCGCGGTGGTACCTTGGCCGCCCTGATTAAATACTGCAGAACAGTTTTGGGCAGTTTAATGATAGATCTGGGTAAAGCCACGAGGGCCGAAGCAAACTTTCTGATCGCTCGCTGAGAGGAGAAAAACCAGGAGAAAGTCACAGCATCAGAGTCCTGTAGCCCTTCAAACAGTTACAACACTATACAACACAACACATGAACAATAAATCACAAGTCTGTCACTAAACAGATGGATAAAACCGCTGCAACAGATGCTCTGGAAAAAACACTTTTGAGGAATGTTTATTTGTTCATCTCTCAATCATGATTGTATTGCATTGCATTTTATGTTTTGACCATAAAACTAAGCATAAAATATCATCTTACTCATTACGACTGATATCTATCTATCTATCTATCTATCTATCTATCTATCTATCTATCTATCTATCTATCTATCTATCTATCTATCTATCTATCTATCTATCTATCCATCCATCCATCCATCCATCTACCCATCCATCCATCCATCCATCTACCCATCTATCCATCCATCCACAAACCCACCTACCCATCTATCCATCTAACCATCCACCCATCTACCCACCCACCCATCATCCATCCATCCACCCACCCATCCATCCACCCACCCATCCATCCATCCATCCACCCACCCACCCATCCATCGACCCACCCATCCATCCACCCATCCATCCACCCACCCGTCCATCCATCCACCCATCCATTATATATATATATATATATATATATATACATACAGTATATACACACATTTATATAAGTATCTGCTACACTGTTACAAAGATTTCACTGATTTACATTATAATCTATCAGAATTTTATACTTTTTGTTCATATAAGTATCAGCATCTGCACCAAACTGCATATTTGTTTTTCCTCCAAATTCTCTCTATATCACACTAAATGAGCCATAAAAGTCTGATGGATCAAAAATGATACAAACCATAAAACACATATGTGAACTGAGAAGAATAAATATAAGCTGGATTCCAGAGAAGTTCAATCTGTTTTCTTCTGCAGACTCACCTGGAAGGCTGATCTCTTGGGTGGTTCTTCATCTTTTTTCTCCTCCTCTTCCTCTTCCTCTTCACTGTCAGTTTCAAACAGGTAATAATCACCACTTCTCACCACTGAGAGAGGAATGGAGGAGCAAAAACAATCATATAAAATTGGCAAACAGAAGAATAACATGGTTTTGAGAATTCATATAACACAATAAACGTTGAAAAAGTTGGTTATTGACTAATCAATTACATGACATAACAGAAAATACTAATAAATCTCTTGACCGAACTTACCTGAATCTCTAAATCTGAAAACCATAGTCAAACTTAGTTTTTCAGGCATAACAGATTAGCATGAGTCATTAACGTTTGTAAAGCAGTACCATAAAAAACAATAAAAACCTTAGAATCTTGCACATCCCATTTTAGGCTTTTTATAAAATTTATGTTTTATATTTGTTATACTACTTCAATAAAACAGCATATTATCAATCAAATAAATCAACAAAATGATTAAAAACTACACCCATATCTCTGGCTGGGTTAGTCAGTCATCTAACACCACAGAAACACCTCTGTGTCTGCAGTTTCACAATCGCACGGCAAAACAGGATTTGGAATAAGGAAACTGCCTTGTGTCCTTGAACAGAAGAGCCGCAATGGATGGGGAGGACAGGGGAGGATGCTGGGAAAACATTTCAACACTTTATTTGAGAGCCTCAGATTAACAAAACCCTAAAAATCTCTTAAAAAGACCACATTTTCTATAGTGATTAGTGTCTCTCTTTAAAAAAACTACAATGGTGATATCATGGTTTTCAGACATGGCACCACAGTAATACCATGGATTTTTGGACATGATCATGATATTAATACTATGGTATTCTTTGCAGTACATGTAAATACCATAGTATATGAATATGGCAATCATATTCAATCATGTACCATGGTACCACCACAGTATGTTTGCGTATTACAGCTTTTCCTTAATAGTCTATATTCTAATCACTATATAAAACAAGTATTGATGTTTAAAGAAAGAAGGTTTACAGTTAAAGCGCATCTCATGTGCTTTAGTATCACGCTGATAACGGAGATCAGCTCATCAAAGACGACAAAATAAAAATACCATCTCACTCATACCACACCAACACAATGAGTTTGAGGGTATTTCTTTTGCTTTTTGATGGTTTTCTGTTGAGCAATTTCTTTGTTGAAGAGGAGATAAAGAGAGGACCAAAAATGTCTGATTTATAAAGTTATTTCACCCAACAATGAACATTTAATAAACCTCTTGTCAATTTTAATGCCTTTTGCTTTATTTGAACAAAAACACAGTAATATTGTGGAATAATTGAAAAACTTTTCTTTTTGAATATATTTTCAAATTTAATTTATGCTTCACATTTTTGAGGAAACTGATCATTCAGGATTTTTTTTGTTAAATAGAAAGCTCAAAAGAATGGCATTTATTTGAAATAGAAATCTTTTGTAACATTATAAATGCCTTTAGAGTTTGAGCAATTTAATGCATCTTCTATGAACAAAAATATTAATTCAATTTAAAATTCATTTAAAAAATATAGAAAAAACATTGACTTCCTTTGCACAAAAAAAAAAAAAAGAGTGCCATGAACATTCTGCTAAATAACGTTTTAAAGCATTTTCATTTATGGATGAAATACTCTCATAATACCAAGGCAGCTCAAGCTGATTCATTATTATATGGTCATGAGGAAAATCTCTCTCTTTTCCACAACAGAGTGTCTAGTGGATTTGAATAAAGCAGAGTGATTCTCTACTGTACGGCTCCGTTCACCTGCTCATACGGTCACGTGACAACAAACCAGCACCATCCAGACATTCAACTTTTCCTCCGGCTGCTGTATAGATCTATTTAAGGCACCAAATCAATGTCATTTTTTACATCTGTAAGTGTTAGGATACTTTTATTTAAAGTCATCATTTAGTTTTACACTTCAAAAGATCACGGAAAGTGTGATTCCTGATGAAATGACTGCTTTAAAGTGTCTACCACTGGTAGTTAACACTGCATGTACAATCATAAGGCAGACGGCCTTAAATAGATGTAGAAAAGTCTAAGGTCTGACGGAGCACAAGTGCAGTATGGGAATCCTCTGACTTCTGGTCAAGGACACAAGGATCAGTGAGATCAGAGGAAGGTATGAGGAACCTACTGGACGCATGGTCAACCCAAGGCCTCCACCACTGCTTTTTGTGCACCTTGTTTTTCTTTTTCTCTGCAAATGAAATGTTAGAACGTTAATGAAAGCATGTCAGAAGTGACATTGGCGAAATTGGAACCTTTTCCTGGTTGCTTTACGGAGAATGTGAAGAATATGCAGCTAAATACACACATGAGAGTGCTAAACTTGGCTTTTTACAGTTCTGTTTGTGGTGCTTCTATGAAAGCACACTATTTTATCTTACTGTCGTGATCTACATCATACCATCATCATCACCGTCGTCGTTGTCGTCAGGCTGGATAAATTTCTGCTCGTCTCCAGACTCCTGAGCCATGCTGAGCATCTTCTCCTTTCCTCTCTTGAACTTCTGCTGCCGCATCTTAATATGATCCATCCTAAATGAATGCATTCATAGTAATGAGAGAAATCATTCACAGCACATTTAATAATAATAATAAACTCTAATAACATGTACATTGTAGTAATATACGCTTTTTAAAAGTTTGGGGTCGCTAAGATTTTTTAATATAAAAAGTCTCTTCTGCTCACCAAGGCTTCATTTACTTAATCATAAATACAGTAAAAATTGTAATATTATGAAATACTATTGCAATTGAAAATAAATATTGAGTTGAATTGAAAATCAGTCATAAGGGTACATTTTTCAAAATTGAGATTTATACATCATCTGAAAGCTGAATAAATAAGATTTCGATTGATGTATGGTTTGTTAGGATAGGACAGAATATTTGGCCGAGATACAACTATTTGAAAATCTGGAATCTGAGGGTGCAAAAAAATCTAAATATTGAGAAAATCGCCTTTAAAGTTGTCCAAATGAAGTTCTTAGCAATGCATAGTACTTCTCAAAAATAAAGTTTTAATATATTTACGGTAGGAAATTTACTAAATATCTTCATGGAACATGACCTTTACTATACTAATGATTTTTGGCATAAAAGAAAAATCAATAATTTTGACCCATACAATGTATTTTTGGCTATTGCTACAAATATACCCCAGCGACTTAAGATTGGTTTTGTGGTCCAGGGTCACATATTGTAAAATGCATTGAATTTTCAGCATCATTACATAAAAAAAAAGAAAATCTTACTGACCCCAAGCTTTTTAATGCTAGCAGGCTAGTGAAAGCGAAGTTTCTACATAACTACATAACATGAGCTAAGGTTGCTAGGTGGTTTTCGATTAGAAATTATGACTTGGGTAACTGTTGAGCTCTACTATGGACTATTACATGCAACTCATGAAGTCAAACACAAATGAAAGGATGTTTCTCACTGTCTCTTCAGTTGCTCCATGGATCTCTTCTCCTCCTCCAGACGAGCTCTCACGGCCTTCACAATGCTGGCCTGAAACAACTCTGCTCCTCTGACAGACAGACAGACAGACACACGGACAATACTTAACTAAACTGTACTGACATTTACACATACTCCACTACATACTATAAATGACACATTTATGTTCTTAGTTCATACTTAAAAATGTATGGAAGTCTGTTTTTTTTTGTAAGTCCACCTATCCATCCATCCATCCATACATTCAACCACCCATTTTTTCTTAGAATTCTGAGTTTACATCTCACATTTCTTACGTTTCCAGAGAATTCTTTTTATACATTACAATTCAGACTTCTCTTCTCAGAACTTTGAGTTTATATCTCAGAATGCTGATATGTTTTCTGACAATTGCGAGTTTAGATCTTGTAATTCTGTATTTAAGTTGCACAATTATGACTTTTTTCTCACAATTCTGGGAGAACATTTCACAACTCTGACCTTTTTCCTCACAATTGCAATTCATCTCCCAATTCTGATGTGTGACCCTGAAAAAGCAGTGTTAAGTCGCTGGGGTATATTTGTAGCAATAGCCAAAAATACATTGTATGGGTCAAAATTATCGATTTTTCTTTTATGCTAAAAATCATTAGAATATTAAGTAAAGATCATGTTCCATGAAGATATTTTGTAAATTTCCTACCGTAAATATATCAAAACTTTATTTCTGATTAGTAATATGCATTGCTAAGAACTTCATTTGGACAACTTTAAAGATTTTTTTGCACCCTCAAATTCCAGATCGTCAAATAGTTGTATCTCGACCAAATATTGTCCTATATTTCAATGGAAAGCTTATTTATTCAGCTTTCAGATGATTTATAAATTTCAATTTCGAAAAAATTAACACTTAAGACGGTTTTGTGGTCCAGGGTCACATATTTTTTCTTCTTCTCAGAATTATGAGGAAAAGTCTGAATTGTGAGATATAAACTGAGAACTGAGAGGAAAAAAAAGTCGTAATTGCAAGATAAAAAGTTGTGGGCAGAAATATGTTTCCATAGAAATGTTCTCCAAACTGCAAGTATGAAATTATCCCTCAAACAAAAACATACATTCAAAACCAATCTAACACACTTGTGTGTAAACGTATGTAAACATGTTGTACCGAGATGCGAGAATCTGTCCGGCGCGGATGTCTGCGACCACATGCAGGAAGTAGTAGCTCATGAAGACACGTCTCTGCAGCAGGAGGAACGTAAAGCAGATACTGTCCCAGATAATCCCAGCCTCGTCCCTTGGCACCTCACAATTCTCTAAAGACACGCCTGAAGACACACGGAACACATATAAAGCCATTAGAGATCATTTGAATAATGCAATGCTGCTTCTCAACCAAAAGTTCTAAGTTAAAGTTGCATGTTGCTATGCAAACAAGCATAAAAATATACTGTGCACACAAATATTGGCTAAAATAATACATATGCAATTAAGTTAACATTTGATAATTATTTTACTTATTTTGAAATATATTTGTAATGAACAGTTTGTGGACACCACCTTGGTTCATCACAATGCATTGCCTTTTTTGTGAACGACAGATGCTATGGTGTCTTTGAAAGCAGACAAATAGGCTGCCTTCTGAAACTATGATGCTTTTGTAGACAGCTCACAATATGTTTAATTTATATAACAACAAAGATTAGAAACCAGAATGTTGGCCAAAAGCAACCTTTCTTTACCTTCTAGAGCTTTGTATTCTTTTATGGTGCAGGCAAGACTGAGCAGCTGAACCAACCAGCAGCTATTCTTCACCAAATGCTTGATATAACCACATGCCAAAATCTGTGGAAAAAGAAAAGAAAAGAAAAATATAGGGGGGAAAAATACAATTCTTAATGCATGTTACTCATCTTTTAATTTATTGCTTAATTAATTTTTTTCTGTTTATGCATTTACTAGCCTCCTCAACAGACTAAAATAATAATTTATCTTAATAGTTTTAATAGTTGCACAATAAATCCTATATATATATACTTAATAAATAGCACATTTAATTTTAAAGCATGATTAATCTTTTAACAAAAGAAAATAATATATATATTTTTTATTTTATTCACTGATACAAAACTTCATGGTAATGAAACACTAAATAGAGAATATATACTGTAAAATAAAAAGTGTAAAATTCACTGCACTGTAAAAATAAAAAATATGAATTATAAATTATTATAATATAATTAAAATTAATATTATAATTATAAATTAATAAACATATGTTGAGATGTTCTTTTTTATTTCTCTGCAAATAAATAAATAAATACATTTCATACATTAATATAATGATTTTGGCAGAATCGGCTGAAAACTGTAAATGCATTTCTTTAAGGGATAAGACACTCACAGCAAACACGTTCTTCATTGTGATGACGAAGACATTGTAAGCTATGAGGACATCCCAGTAACGGAGGATCTTCTTGATTGGCTTGAGCAAGAGATCGCCACCGAAGAGCAGGAAGTAAAAACACGCCACCAGGTAACCCATGCAGAAGACACTGATCCGAGTCGTGCCCGTGATGAAGATGATGGTCAGGACGAACCAGAACAGGTAGCTAAACATGATCACCTTCAGCATGTCCAGGTACGACCTGAGAGAAGGAAATAATATTAACATGAGAGCAACGTTTAACTGACGTTTGTTTAAATGATCCATCCAAACTAGCGATGCGCCAATAATAAACTTCTCAGCCCATACCGATAGTCGATTATTCCGAATGATATCTGCCGATACCGATAGTTTAGTTTTCTTAAGAAAAAAATCTCACCCTGTTAACTATAGGGAGCCCTCTAATTTTGTACATAATATTAGAGGTTAAAATTAACAACAAAGCTATTATATTAAATGCTGTTTATTTTAAGATAATAATCACACTCAAATAAAAAACTCTTGTATACAACTCAATTGCACAATGTAGTTTTCATAAAAATGGGTCATCATGACAGATTTATTCAAACATACATATATAATTAATAGTGTTTCTTTTATAGTTAAAGGGGTCATATGATGCGATTTCAAGTTTTCCTTTCTCTTTGGAGTGTTACAAGCTGTCCGTGAATAGATAAGATCCCTAAAGTCTCAAACCCAAAGAGATATTCTTTATAAAAGTTAAGACTGGTCCACGCCCCCCTAAAATGGCTCGTTCTAACACGCCCGCACATATCTACATCACGATGTGGGAAGAGTTGCATAACGCCGCCCAAATGTTCACACAATGAAAGAAGGCATAACTTTTATTCTTGCTGTAGTATTGTTGCTGCCGCCGTCATGTTGTGAAGACACTGTGTGTTTCGTTGTGAAATCGAAACTACTTTGTTTGGTCTTCCAAAGGAGGACACAACTAGAAATCAGTGGTTAAGTTGTATTTACAACACTGTTCCAGAACAGTTCAA